ACAGAGGAGAGAGAAGAGGGGCAACGCATTTTGCGATCGGATATGCAGTTCGGCTGGAGCGATTTTGCTGCAAAAAATGAGATTTGGCGTTCGGTTGGAGAAGGTCTAATTAGCTCACAAATAATATGTTTTCTGAGCCAAAAATTAATACACACTCTTCTATTTCTTATTTTATTTCTCCTAACTTCATATTTCTTCCCAAAATTTCCTCAGATCATTAAAGTCACAAAAATTAATTTTTTTTGGTGATCGAATCTAGATACATGTTGAACCATCATTTGTTTTTGTAAAACTTTATCTCTTACAAAATGAAAGTCAAGCTCAATGTGTTTAGTCCTAGAATGAGAACCGAGACTCGATGATAGTGAAACATTCCCTTGATTATCAGCCCATATAGTTGGAATTCTAAATAATTTGAACTTCAAATCATTCATGAAATGAGTCCATATCACCTCACAATTGGCATTGGCTAGGCTTCTATACATTACCTCTGTGCTTGACCTAGAGATCGTAGGCTGCTTCTTTGAACTCCAAGACACCAAATTATTTTCGAGGAAAACACAATAGCCGGTAACTGATTTCCTGTCATCCAAATATGGGGCCCAATTTGCATCATAAAAGGCATTCGTTTCATTTGATCGATTGCGCATCTAAGAATTAATTTTAAAAAATTAAAAAGTATTATATTAATTATTTTATAAGTATACTTGAAAGTGAAAAAAAAAATTATTAATTTATTCTCTAGAATTTAGAATCTTAATTATATTTTGTCTTTTGTAACCATAATTATCTTAATAATCCAGAATCATAATTATTTTGTGTTGTAAAAATAAGCATAATTCAGAAAATAAAAATCTCTTGCATTGTATTACTGTGTCACTTTTAATTCATTTGTAAAGAAGCTAAAAAATATGTACAATAAGATGACCAGGTTATGAGTTAATTTCGCCGGAGTATTGATACTAAAAACGATTTTATTTTTAGAAAAGAGTTAATTAAGATAAATAAAATATAGTCTAAATAATAAACAAAAAAGGAAAATACATTTATAAGAAAATATTCACATATATATAAATCTATATCTATATCTATATAAAAAAAGTTTGTTATTTTTAAATAGTAACTATTTCCTTAAAAACAATCTATTTACTATTTGGGGAAATTAATTTAACAACTTATGGTATACTAGTACAACACCTGTGTATTACACGGGTGCTTGTTTAAAAATTATTCTGAAATTTTAAATTAATGAAAAAAATTATTTTAAATTTTGTTTAATTTTTTACGAAAAATATATATTATTATATAGTTTAAAATGACATTTTTTACTTGTGAAACTTACGTGCGTTATATTATAGTAATTTTTATAACTTATATTATATAACTACTTGAAATATAAATATATTAATTAATAAATAATTTTATTTAATTAATTAATATAAAAAAGTTTATTATTTTTCAAAATAGTAACTATTTCCTTAAAAAAAATTATTTACTATTTTGGAAATTTAATTTAACAATTTATGGTCTACTAGTACAACACCTGTGTATTACACGGGTGCTTGTCTAAGAATTATTCTGAAATTTTAAGTTAATGAGAAAAATTATTTTAAATTTTATTTACTTTTTTACGAAAAATATATATTATTATATAGTTTAGAATGACATTTTTTACTTGTACGACTTATGTATGTTATATTATAATAATTTTTATAACTTATATTATATAACTACTTGAAATATAAATATATTAATTGATAAATAATTATATTTTTCTAATTAGTATTTAAAAACAATTTTATTAATGTTATAAAGATTAATATAATTGATGTTATACATACAATATGGATGTTAAATCGAATCACATCAATACATGATTAATTTGATATATTACATATGTAAAACTAATAAAAAATACAAAAGTTATTAACTTTTTTAAAATACATTTACAAATCAAGTGTTATAATAGTAAATGATATTAAAATGCAATGAATACATGTAATATGACTATAAATAATCAACATATTTATGGATAATCCGGAAAGAATTAAAGGAAGCAAATCAAAAGTCAGGGATATATTAGTCATTTAGTGCGCATTATGTAAAAGTACAAAGAATTAAAGGGTTATATTAGTACAAGTGATATTAAAATATCTAAGTTAGCTAAATAATATTTATGGAATGTCTGAACCTATATTATTAATTATCAATATATCAATATTATTTGTCCAAACCTAATTACGAAGCATGATTCTTCGCCAAGTAGGATTCTGAAGTACTAGAAACAACCACGTAGGATCAGCACATTCGAGAATTATATATAGGGAGGATTTCAAATAATCACTTGTGGAAAATGTGGCTCTATATTTAAGGAAATAATTAAGCCATATAAAAGTTTATTTTTAAGATACCTTAATTACTCAAATCACGTGAATTGGTTCATTTACCCAAATATAGGAATTTCGCTTGCAATATCAATTATGTGATTATGGTAAATTCATTTTTAAGATACCTTAATTACTCAAATCACATGAATTGGTTCATTTACCCAAATATGGGAATTTCGCTTGCAATATCAATTATGTAATTATGGTAAATTCATTTTTAAGATACATTAATTACTCAAATCACGTGAATTGGTTCATTTACCCTAATATGGGAATTTCGCTTGCAATATCAATTATGTGATTTGGTAAAAACTTTCAAGCTAAATTGTATAATTTGTTATTTAATAATTAGTTTATATTTTTCGTGTAATTCTTTTGTAAAATACTTTTTTTACTACATCTTAATGGCGCAAATTGTATAGATCCAACTAATTTATCCAATATGTAAATAATTATTAGAATTATAGAAATATCGACAATAATAATTAATTATCAAGATTGCAAAAAAATTGTGTTAAGTACAATTTTTATTTATTCATTTTTTGTGTATTTAATTGCTCAAATCGTGGATAATTAAGTAAATAATTAAACAATAAAAATTTATATTTCTAAGATACTCTAATTACGCAGATCGTGTAACTTCGGTTGATTTATTCAATTATAATGTTCTATAAAATTATTCTAAAGTAATTGTGTTAATGAAAGTCTCTATTTAATTATGTTTTAATAACTATCTTTGGATCTTTTTTTATTTTATCTATAATAAACGTGAGTCTTGGTTTTGTTTGGTACGCTCGGAAATTCATTTCGTGGTTAAATTGAATATCATTTTTTGTATTTATTGATAATGTATGAAATCGAATTATTTGGTATACTATATATTGATCCAATATACCCGCTTATGGTAATAAATGGTATCTCAATATTTTTTTCGTATTGCTAAGTATTTTACTCGATATTAATGAAAGAGAAATTTGTATAATACTATGGTCAATTCTTTTTTGTAAATGTGCGTGGAACATATCAAATTATTTAGTATGTGTGTGTGTGTGTGTATAAAGGTTTATTTTTTACTTAAATTACATTGTAGTCAATCAAATTTCTGAATAAAAATTTTAAAATGATAATTATTTTTGCAATGAATATAATGTAACTTATTATCAATTACTTGCACTGTACGGGTCGTGTACTAAATTTAAATAGACATGTTTTATGTAATTTTGCACAATTTAAATTTCATATAACATTTTCAACAAATTAATAAAGGTAAATTGTATTACATATTGATTTTATATTTCTAATTTATAGATATTATTTAATGAGCATTTGTAATTTATAAATATTAATGAATATTTCTTATATGTGCATCGCACGGAATTGGTACTAGTTATATATTAGTATCTATGTGAAGAAAATAATAATTTGAGTGATCAAAACAGACTGTGTTCCACAAACTGGCACAAGTTCTGCACAGTAAATAAAGTTAGTTCTTTCCTTAATGCATATATATATTTATTCTTCTCTTTTCATGCAGTCTAATTGGATGCTGTCTTTAGCTTTTGTTTTAGAGCGATGTCGAAGATGTGCTCTGCAAAAGTAAGTTGAAATAAACTTGTGTTTGGCTATATATAATATATGTACGTGCGTGGTTAAAAAGCGTACGAAATAATTTTTTTATTTTTTTTTTGTAGTGGATAATATTTAATTTAATGATGTGTATAAAAAGATCAATGTATTCTATGGCAATGATTTTGGCAGCTTCTTTTTTTTTTCCTTTTTTTTTGGATGACATCATGCTTATCTTTAAGTAAGGATAATATTACCGATTTTGTTATGAAGCCATCAATTGGGTGCATAGTGCAGCCAACCCTCTATAAAACCGTAGACATTAATAGTTGTCATGTACCGATTATAGAAATTCAATGAAGAACACTCGAGGGAGAAAACAGAGAATCGTATTGAGACTATTCAATACAGGAATACATAAACATCCATTTACATGTGTATTTTTCAGGACACAGGCTAATAATTGCTTATAGCTCCATAAATGGTATCATTCGATAGCTATAACAAAACTACGATACGAATATCGCAATTATAGTAAACAGAACAGAAAAGGCAATTATAGAAAGAGCGTACTACTACAGTAGTAACTCGCCATACAAATGCCATTTTATCACCAATTACCTGTGCGGTTTTGATGAGTTTATCCATCATCACCTAGACATGCCCGAAAAAAAAAAAAATTACGCTGCTCATAACATAATAGTAGGCTGCAAGCCTGAATCGTGTTTCATGCAAATAAGGATAGAAAAAGAAACACCAAACTCTCAGTTATCATTCAGGATATTTTCAATGTGCTGCAATTCTAACAAGTCAATCTTATCAACAGGATAAAGATGACTAATTCTGCCACAAGTGTGCAAAAGGCTTCCCTTTCTGACACGTCATCACGCACTCAACAACTATTTGTCTCAGTTGTTCTTCGACATCTTCGATAGGGAGGGTTGCATCCACAATCTACAATACACAAACTCAAAATATGAATCAACTTATACCATACACAAAATGTTTGTATTGAACCAAAGTCGATAAACCGAAAAAAAAAAAGACCAAATGTGTCCAATGTTATATTCTCAAGGAAAAGAAAAGCTGAAAGTTAATGCGAAAGAAGTCATTCTAAATTCCACACGGTACACGTGAAATGCTGAAGGCTAACAAATATAATCTTCGAATACAATGTGGTTCAACATTTCAACAAGATGGAGTTCAACCTTATCGACAAGTGTCTACCAACACCATCTATCTAATTGTCAAAACTTACAAGATGAATTTTTTCTCCCGAGGATCACTTTAATAGTTTAATATGACAAAAACAAAACGAACGGTCTAGAGCTCACCTTCCATGTTGAGTCCTGAAGTGTCATATACGATTGAGCAACTTTTTTCTGAAACTCGAGCTTCTCGTAACGCTCACCCCCATAACCTCCTCTTTCGGCAGCCTTCTGAATTTTTTATAAATAAGTTTACAGTCAGCTTTGAATACTATACTTATATAGGAACCCATAGAGGTCTGTAACTAGAAAGAACACATAATTGACACAATGAAAATCAGTACAATCCAAGATTCTAGAGTGGAGCTTTCAATAAAAATCAGTACAAATCTAGATTCTTGAGTATTGGAGTTCTCATATAAACAATTAAGTACTTTATATAAGTGTTCAAAAAATTGATATTGAATAGGTATTCTGCATCATAATGATAACAATCCAGACAAGTTGCCTCGAAAAGTTTAATACACCATAATACAAGCATTTGTAACACAAAGTGATTATATGCTTATGTATTTAGTATTAACAAAAGTGTACATAAACATCATATACCTCAGGGGATATGTCTAGGTAGATAACTACGTCTGGAGCTAGCAATCCTGCCTCTGGAGCCTGCAAAATCATAGAGGGGCATAACCAGAGCATCATGACTCATGAGTTACACAACAAATAAAAAAAATAAAATATAATAAAAAAATCGACGATGAGTTTGGAAACAAATAAATAAACACACAAACATACACACACACACTATTTGCACCTTACACCACTCCATATCAAGTCCCTTTGCAGATGAGAAAGCAACCCCGGAAAAAGAATAACGGTCGACAATGAGCGTGGTTCCACTCCTTAGCTTCGACTCCATCAGCGATCTGCGATGATAGTCGCACATCCATTAAAAGATTATGGAATCGTAAAAGAAGAAATGGACAGAAACTTAATAATTCATAGCAATTTGTTAAAGCATCTTACAGGATGTTAAACCATTCAATACACAAGGGAAGAACAATCCATCATCTGTTGGCTAGACCATCAAAATATTGAACAGGACCAGAAAAAGAGAACAATCATTCTTTAAAATATTATAATTTTGAAAAAGAAAAGAGGCAAGTTTTTTGAGCTTCTACAAGAACCAACATCTTTATCCAGCTGAATCATGCGGGTTTAGCAGAAAAAGATTTCAGGATTCCTGATGTGGGTAGTGGATACGATACGTTCAACAACCCACATAAAAAATAATAAAAGAAATTTATTTTAGACTATATAAGTTGTCATTCGAATTGGGTAGCTAGAAGAAGCTTGCAAAGTTACAAGGTCCGAGCTCTAAACATGATCAAACCGAGTTCAAACTTTGAGTAGAAGGGCCAACTCGGCTCACAAATAACAGCTATATTAGTACATATTCCAACATTTCAAGGTCCACCACTAACAAGGCTAACAACATGATCACATTACTCATGTACATGATAATGAAAGTCTCACTTTTGGCAGGAAAACAAAAAGCTAGTTGATAAAGTATATCTATTAAACAGGGCCTGGAGTTAACGACTCAAAATGTCTGCACAACAAATATTAGCGAAGATCAATACATGGTCAAAGAAAGTAAACACTGACCTCGTCTCCCAACGATTTGCACTGAAGAGAAGATGAATTGCACGATCATCTAAATTCGATTGGTTGGCTAGATAAGAAGAGATCATTTTCCCGACACCTGTATTTCTATCAGGATATCTCCATAGTTCAATGGAGTGACCTGACTCTTCTAAGTAAGAGTGCAACCTTCCACACTGGGAGGTCTTTCCACAACGATCTAGACCTTCTAGAACAATTAATGCACCCCTTGAGACAATTTTGTCACTAGTTGCCATGTGAATTTGTCTAAAACAGCACTTGGGGCGGTATTGCAAAGTGCAAAGAGAACTTGGAGACTGCCGTACAGTTACTGCAGCGAAATTCCTAAAAAGACACGGCATGTATTGACCGACAATCAATATCATTACAAAAGTTTGATATTTTAGGAAAAAGAGAGTACAAATTGACAAATAGAATCAAATTATCAAACTCCACATAAGAAGAGGAAATGCGAAACCCGTAACTTTCCTAAGGAAAGGGATGAATTCAGTTACTTCAAATTTCAAAATTGTAACCCAGTTATTTTAAAACTGAAGGATTCTCGACTTCTGCTGGAAAAATGTTAAATGAGAACGGATCGAAAATTGAACTTTGATCACAAACATTCCACCATGAAGTTTTATCAATTAACTTAATAGCACGCCTTTTACTATGGCGGACAACTCATTCTACTGACACAATATACAAGTGAAGACCGATAAAAAAAAAAAAAATATACATACAAGTGAAGATTAAAGAAAGGGTATATATAAAGAACTGTAGCAAATGAGTATCGATTTGGACTTACAAAGCCTTAAAAACGGTGGAGCGGTAAGCATTTGTCATGCCCTATCTTCACAACCCATATACATTATTTCTCAACTGCATCAAAGAAACACCAAAAAATTGCATATCAAAACGCTAATACCAGAAATTATAATCAGATAATGCATAAATGAACTGAAAAAAAGTGATGGCTTATTATTCAAGGTAGCACGATGCTAGACTACAAAGCTAGTTCTAAAACGGTTTTGTGTATACTCACAGTCCAAGAAAGATGTCGACGAGTATGGCGTCGGACGGCGCCGTCTAACGCGGAATGCCGGTGAAGAAATTAGGTCAACAGAAAGGAAAAAAGGTGAAATTAAAGAGCTCTATTCTTCTTCAGACAACGAGTTCCGGATGCGTGGGTTTGTCAGGAAAGGCGGAGGACCGGGGAGTGAGGCGGCGGAGGACGGGGGAGTGAGGCGGCGGACGACGGAGTACGGAGAAATAGAAGAGGGATCGCGACTATTTGTATCAGGGTTGGAAATATACATTAGAAGAAGTTTTATTTTTTTTTTAACTATTTTTTATTGGGACTAAAATGGGCCTCACCATACTGGGCCGCTGCATCTCAACAACAATCCATTTTAAAAGAGATAATTACCTCCTACATCATCCAACATTAAAAAGAAAAAAAAAAATCACCAATGTTGTGCATGTCACATAAGCGGCGAACATATTAATATGTGTCTACCGTGGGTAAGAGAGCATTACTGTAATGTAATAATTGTCTTTTGTTTGCTCTTGTCTCACCCTTTTTCGTCAAATTATTATCTTTTCTCTCAAATTAATTCTCTTCTCTCTTTCTTTTTCGTCGTTCCCCAAATTAATTAATTTCCCTTGAAGTAATTTTATAACTACAATAAACTAATAATATACTTAAATTTAGAGTGTATTATTATATAATAAATGTGTGTAAGATAATTAATTTTATAACTATAATAAACTATATCTAATTTTTTCTGGTATAATGAACTATATATATTTTTTTTTTCTTGTATGATAAATTAAAAATAAACTATATATAAATTGAAATGTACAGTTTATATTCTTGTAATAATTTATAAAATTATAACGAACTACTAAACATAAACTAGTAAATTTACATTATAAAAATTGGTTTATAACCCTAATTCGTGTGCATATTGTTATACCACTCTCCCTACGTCCATGCTACCAGAATAGAAAGGGCACACGACTTATCTTCGGAGAGATCAGGACCGATATGTTAGTCTATTTCTTCTAAAGAAATATTTGTCCAGTTCAGTTGTTGCTCATTAGCATCTTCTTCTGTGCGTGTGCATGGGATACCTTTGACTATTGATTCAATGAACGAAGCGAAGCGCAGTGAATTCAGAAGTATTGGCGAAGTTCAGTCATAGACATTCGGGAAGGTTCACTAAAATTGTGTAAAGTAGTCCCGTGTGCCCAATCAGTCAAGGCTCTGAAAGAGATAATATTTGCGCCCGGTTTCGCTAGGGAGCCATCGGATATCATAACAAGAAACTTCATGCAAGTCATTTTATGCAAATCATTCCAACCCATATATAAAACGAAAAACACTTCCAAAACAGATGCACTATAAATTACGCTGAGATGCATGCAAGCCACTAAAATATTGGTTGATCAGTTGTCAAAATCTAACATTTTGTGTTCAACTAGTATCGTAACCCGTGCAATGCACGGGATAAGGATATTAAATGAGTTATTTTCACAGTCTTGTCCGTTTAAGTCTAAAAAGTAATAATGTTATTATCTATTTTCTACCTGTTTTAATCAACGTTAAGTCTAAAAAAATATTAAGCCGCCATCTGGCAAATATGTATGGAGTTATGTGTTCGTGTCTCATAAGTCACAAACATTATGAATA